AAATGAGAAGCAACTCATTGCACCAGTTGGGGTTAAATAACTTGTTGCCAGCTGAAAGATAATCACCCATGCAGTAATTATCCAATAGGAGGCTCCTACCTATTTGCTTCGTTAAATCCAGGTGGCGACTTTTTTTTTGGCCAGGCAGTGTATTAGGTCACATGTCCATGCAAATGGATTAGAGTGAGCCAATTCCTATATTTAGACTATATTATTAAACCCTTTATGTTTATTCATTTTTTATTATATATTTTGTTGTTGTTTTTTAATGTCAAGATTAAATACACAAACTTTTTCGTCCTGTCTTTGTCTTTCAGGAGGGCACTTCAAAGTTTGCAAACACTGACAACAGACTCAACAACAGGCATCACAGTAAGGTGAGGCGATTGGGAATATCCCTGGTTTTTATACACTAATTTTATCATTTAGATTTGAAAATCAAACATTGTGACAAAAAATATGATCAAATTGATCTGAAATAAACTCATGATGTGATTCAATGGTAAAAATGAACATGCAAAACTACTTGAAAGAATGCAGGAGAAAATCAAGTTATATCATGCAGTAGGGACAGAACTCCGACGTAGGTCGAGGATCCTCTGTATATGTGAAAAGATATTACAGTATCAGGTACTAAACCCAGTCAGCTGCTGCACCATCAGAGCTGTGGTCATTAAAATAAAGGAAATACAGTGACCCTGCTGCAGGTTGATTAGGAATTACTTTCCAGAGAGTAAAGCTTTTCTATTACTTTTCTAAGTACAGCAGTCAACACTGATGCTGTTGTCAGGGTTTGATGGAGGTCAAGGATGAAAAGGATGGACCGTGGAGCAGCTGCAGCTGCAGGGTGGAACACTACTGATTTTTTTTTATGTTCTCAAATGGAAAATCCACAATAAAGTTTAAAAATAATTATTTTTTATTTATCTCTCTTTTCTGAAACAGTCCAGCGCTCAGGGCACTGTGCCTTACCTGGGTATCTTCCTCACAGACCTCACTATGTTGGACACAGCAGTCAAAGACAGGCTTGATGTAAGTTCATCTCACCTCAGTCACAAATACACACACACACACACACACACATATTTTTTTTCAAAAATCATCCAAACTAAATACTGTCACCTCCTTTTCAGAATGGCTACATCAACTTTGACAAAAGGCGACGGGTGAGTGATGGTCCTACTTTGAAAAAAAAAAAAATTAAAAAACACGGGTTGTCAAACTCAATCACTCAAGGGGCAGAAATCCTTTTTAAGTCAGCAAAAAAAGATGTACGAGCTACATTCACAAAAGACATTGTGCGAGGCGCTGGCTACAGCCAGACATCGTGAGGCTCATGATGAGAACAGGACAGTCTACCCAGAGGAGCCTAAATGTGTATGGGCCTCTGTATTATGAGATTTTATAATGGAACATCTGTCTTTGTGTGTGTGTGTGTGTGTGTTAACAGGAATTTGAGGTTTTAGCTCAGATCCGTCTCCTGCAGTCTTCCTGTAAAAACTGTGTGTTCAGCAGCGATGAGTCCTTCATACAGTGGTACCAGAGTGTGCCCACGCTGAGTGAGGAGGAGAGGTAACACACACACACACAAACACACACTCACACACACAAGACAGATGCCACCATTTCACTTTATAATTAAAGAAATAAATCCAAACCGTCCTCTGTGTCACAGTTACAGACTGTCCAATGAAATCGAAGCGCCCAATGAGCCGAGCCCTCGGGGTTTAACTCCAACCGTCATCATCACACAGTGTCCAGAGTGAGTTTGACCTTACGTGCACACACACACTTATCACTTCATTAAATATACTCTACATTATAAATATGTGTGTATTTTTTGGGGGGGTCCGTTCAGTCTAAGCACTTCCAGGACCAGTCTGCCCGGTGACAACGACGGCCCCTTTGAGTTCTCCTCACCAGTCAATCACCTGCTTTCTAAACTCACCAAGGTAAAAAAGAAAACTGTCACATTTACTTGAGCTGGGATTTTGCATAGTTTCATATATTTATGAATGAAAAGAATAACAATAAGAATGAAGATAGTTAGCTCCTTGGACAATAGAAATGGACAGGACATTGTCCCTCTACGTCAACAACTCCTTCCAGCTAATTACCCTCAACAACACCACCACCCTACTCTATTCTTCTGCAGCATATGAGATCCCCATCTGTGTCCTGTCTGGACGTAGACACGTCGCCTTCCACCAACGACTCCACCCCTGCCACCCTGACTCCGTCCACTCCCACCAAGTCCCACCGCAGATCTGCCTCCTGTGGCAACAACCCACCCACCAGCCTGCAGGGGTCAGGGGCCGACATGAGAATCATCAGGATACGGATGGAGCTGCAGGACGGAAACTTGTATCGTAGCATTCTGGTACTGTCCAACGGAATTCTTATCTTTTATGTATATATTAATGTGTGACTATAATGCTAACAGATTCATTTTAGGCCTTTTTGGTGGTGTAGTGGTTAGCACTGTTGCCCCATAGCAAGAATGTCATTGGTTTGTTGGATGTTGGTAGCTACTATTAAAATGACCAGACTAAAGTAATCGACCTACAATGACAATTTATATATTTGTAAATAAAAATAAAGAATATAATTATCTATTAAATATATATTTGCTCCATATACTTGATTATAAGTTTAAGATTTACTGGCAGATCGTTTATTGGGCGCCCCATGGTCTAGAAAATGAAGAGAATTAGCCTCAGGCTTAATCGGTTAAATGTGTTATTGAGACATTGAAATGTTTAAACTTGATCTGTAGTGTTTTGCCCAGAGGCAAATCCACAACACGGCTAGAACCATACACTTGGTCGTGGAACAACACACTCATCCAAAACCTATGTACGGAATTTGAAAATCAGACAAATCACAACTGAGCAGACAATCTGAAGTGTTGGCTTTGTTTCAAGCATTATTAGTGTTTCACTTAAATCAAAGGCAGCGCATGAAGTCTGTGAGACCATTTTTAATTGTCTCTGATGTGAGCAAATTGTAAAATAAGGCGTGTCTGTTTCCGTGTACAGTAAGTGTGTCAGGAGGATGGCGGGTAAAAGATCACAGCAGATAGTTCATTGTCTGTCTACCATGAGTCTTGTTGATAGAAATTGATGCATTGATTTGTTTTTCTTATGCAAAAATAACACTGTAGATAGATTAAAATCATTGTGGTTTCAACCACCAGTCGGCTGAGTTTAGTTGGATTTAGTTTCCTCTAACACATTGCTCACGGTTCATTTGCTCTAATTATACGTTTGTGCAAAGTGAATGATTAGTACTCATATCAACATGAGGTACAACAGGCCAAGGAATGTTACAGAACCAGAACAGAGTGTGTTGAATGACAAACATCCGTCTGTGAAAGCTGGAGGTTCTTCAAACTCTTAGCTTTTCTCGATCCATTTGTGTCTGATAAAGGGCCACATTGGAAAAGCTGGTTAGTGGGCTTGCTTTAGAGCTAGTTTCATACTCATTTTTTTCTGGAAAGTCAGTCCCTGAGATAAGAGTCTTGAATCTTTAAGATGGTGCGGTATTACTGGTCCGCAGTAACGGCTGATACCGGCTGATTGGTCCTTGGTACAAAAAAGGTTGGGAACCACTTTAGAGTACACACTATAGTAAACATTATACTGCATACAGTATTAATCAAGCACAATAAGTAGCCTGTAATATTGTAATTATTAATGAACAAATACTGTCACATTGTACATTGAAGAGGTAAGTGCCAAATGACTTATGTTGAACTCTATACAATAGACTTTATTTATAACATGCATGTTTTGCTCTGGTGGGCCACATAAAATTATGTGGTGGACCATATTTGACCCACGGGCCTGAGATTTGACACATGTGGCATAAAGAGTCAAAATAGGCACCACGTCCTGAAGCACAGTAGTTTAGTGAGTTGAAGAAACTAAACAGACTGACGATACATGTGACACTATTGTGCTAATCTGTACAAAGTCAAACTCTTACATTTGAAATGTAGTAAATAGTCTGTCCTTCTTTGTTTAGTTTTTATATATTTGTGACGTTTGTCATATGGCTGAATTAGTTATGCTTTTTATTTTATCAAGGTTCATTATGGACATTTTTATGTTTATTTTCTAAATCAATGAAGTCACAATGCTAAGATTGTGGCGTAGTTATTACTTGGGGCCAACCAGTAAATGATGTTTTTGGCCGACTTTATCTGTTGTTTCCATTTCTTTGTCTCTGTTACTGCTACAGTTGTTACCCAGTGGCTAGTATTTTAGCTGCTCCAAAGAGCGATGTTATTTAAACAATTCTTATTTTTGCCCTGCAGTTTGACCAATAAAGTCATCATTTTACTTTAATCCAGATACACTGCAGCAGCTCCGGCAACCGTGACACAGTGAAAAAAAGATTCCAGAATTATCTCTGACGGCGACACACTGCACTTACAGCCTCGTCCCCTTATCAGCAAGGCTCCCATTAATGATAGTCATCAGAGTCAGAGTGTCAGGGTGAAATGGACTCAGGGTATCATTAGTGGAAATCAAGCTGTCTTACAGTCACTATTGTTGTCCTCTATCGCCCTCAGGTTACCAGCAATGATAAGACGCCCACTGTGATCAGCTCTGCCCTTGAAAAGCACAATCAGGACCCAAAACAGACGTCCAAGTATGAGCTGATCCAACTGCTGCCTGAAGGAAAAGGTAAATATGTAGTTGTTAAAAAAACCGCTGCCGTCTTTTGACGTGCTAAATCTTTACTTCAGATGTTTTTATTTGGTCATAGTATTTACACTTGGCTGTACTTAATTATTAGTCTGCATAGCATAGCAAATTATACCAATTAAAGATCTGTTTGATGTAGTTGTCAAAATGTCATGACATGATACCAAAAGGTAATTGCTGGAGTGGCAGTAAAGTACAGTGGTGCAGGTGTGCTTCCTGAGTGAGTTCTGGGTTCAGGGCTTGGTGGAGGAGGTGGGGGGGGGGTCACTTCAGCAGCATGAATCTATGTTAAGTTTCACTAAAGCTAAAGACACGCTACAGAATTTACTGCCAGATTTAGCCAAAATTCGGAAATGGTTGACGTCTGCACTCGAACTGAGTGGAGCTGATGTCTGTAGATATCCATGAAGTACTCTGTCTGCTCAAGCAGCTTATGTTTTTTTACTTCTTTCCTTTTTTTAGAACTCCTCATCCCTGCTACAGGAAATGTCTTCTACGCCATGACGCCCTCTAGCGTGGACTTCCTGTTGAGAAGGAAAGGTGGGAACACACCTCTGGGCCCACAGCCCATCAGCACAGAGACCAGCGCCACATTTCCTCGCATCAAGGCCAAAGGAAGGAGACTAGTCAGGACTTTATTTTGACATTGGTTGCTCTTCAACTTTGTCCACTGTGTTTTTGTTTCTTCAGGCCTTCAGTCCCTGCAGTCATGAACTCGGGACAACGTTTAAAAGAGAATTGTTGTGGGCTTTTCCGAACAAAACGAAACACATGCCTTTATGCCACGATACGACCAAACATGAAGAGGCCAAGTTGGTCCGACACATCCGACCTCCTCGCTGTTGTCCTGAAATCACCACAAGAACTGCAGAAGAACAGCTTCATTTTTCTGTTATTTTTTCCCTCACCACATGGATTGATCATTTAAATGACCAAGGAAAGACTTTTGGTTTGTGCGTTTGTCGTCTAGCACTTTTAATGCAACTTTGTTTTTATTATTCTATAAGTCCATGACTAAAACTGTTTCCATTTTTTACTAACAAATAAGCTGTGCTGTTGTCTGTCTCCTCTGTGTCTGATGCAGGATTTTATTTCCTTAAAATCTAAATACGCAGGACACGGTGAAAAACGAGGTGCTTGGATCGATGAAAAGTTAAAAATGAAGCAGCACAAATGGATAAACCGTAGCAAAACACTGGAGCTTGTTTTGTACATATTTATATATTTTGTAGGTCTGCGTGATGCTGTGTTTACTGTTTACTGACGCGAAGCTTGATGTCCACGTGTTCAGATCGTCAAACGAGCGTTTCATGTCTATCAGCAGGTCGACACATTTACAGGCAGCGAGGGATGAAGCGAATTTGTTTTGTTGCGGCTGCAGAAATTGATATTTTTCCGTAAGCTTTGACTGTTTGGCTGACTTTTCACCTGCTCAAGGAATAGTACAGGTGTTTGGTTTGGTTTTTACTGAAGTGTGTTAATATAATACATTGACACATTGTCAGTCCTGGAGCTTTAAGAGTCAAGGGTAAGTCTATGAGGTGTAGTGGTTCGGTTGTTTGCTTTATGAATCTCTCACCTGCACCAAAGTCCACTGTGAAAATGCTCATTTTTAGCTGAAAGGGAGGGACAGTGAAACAGTGGTCTGTTGCTGCTAGCTCGGTCAGTTTGTGTGTTTAATTTAAGTACTAACATGAAAATTACAAACCTTATATTCATTAAATGATTTGTGCTTAAAGATGGAGGCAAAGGATGAGCAACAAGCCCTGTGTCCCTTGATGTAAAATTGTTGATTTTCTCAATGGACTTAGGTGTGAAAGATTTCATTTTATAATATGTTTAACATATTAATATTATTTAAATCCAGTGGGCCTTACACAAGCGAGGCCCACTGGATTAAAAGAAAGCAAGTAACGATAGTACCTTGGTGTTTACAGTTCCTGGGACTGTGCAGTGAATAAGCAGCTGAAATATATTCTCAAATATTCCAGGAGCTAGTTTTCAGGTTCTTCATCAGATCTTAGGCTGGACCTAATTCATGCAGCCTGGCAGTATCTGTCCTCACTGGTGTTTACAGACATTTTCTCAGCTTTAATTTCACAGTTTGATTCAACTTCTTCTCAGACGTGTAACAAAAAGAAACCTCAACTCTGTCTGATATCTTGTGATCCCTGTGACAGCTGCAGCTCACGGCTGGTGAAGCCTCTAACAGCTCTACAGGCTGAGGCAGGAGCGCGGCTGAACCAGGGAGAGGATTCTGGGTAATAATGATGGATGATGTGTGTTAACATCAGAGCCCAGCTGCTGATAGCTTCAGTGCCTTTCTGCTAAAGGTGCTCACCTTTGTTCCCATCTCTGTGCTGTGTCCTCACATTGGAGCTGTTGATGCACTACATACAGGAGGTCTTATTTTTGTGCTAATAAATTTACTTTTCTATGAATTCACTGCAGTGAGACCTGTTCTTAAAACACGTGTTTAAAGGTCAATTTTAGATGTTTTTCAAACACATTTTGCATCCCTGTTCTGTCTGACATCACCCCCTCAAATCACCTACTGCTGATACCGATATCAATCCGATACCTTCTTTTCTCCTCCAGCAGGCCACGGGCTACCGTTGCCGTGGCGATGGTGTCCCTGTTTACATCATGTCACTCGAAGTAGAGTTGAAAACTAGGGTATTTACTGGACAGGGCTGGGCTATTGTTATTGGGGGGTTTTTTTTTGGGGGGGGGGGAGTTGTTTGTTTTTTATTATTTTGACCAATACTGGATCAATACCGATCCTGAGTATGGTACTGAGCCGTCCCTAGTTTTCATGTTATATAAAACTGGACAAAGAGGGAGTAGATTTTGTTCGATGTTACCAACATACAATCTGGTTATCAGGGTAAACGTATTAGAATATAATAGAGTCTAGGGTTTTTGCAAAGTTTATGTTCAACAGGTGAATCTAGTGTTTTTGGACTGGTTTATCTACAGTATATCAAGTGTTAAAATTTGAGTAGTACCCTGAAACATAAAAACGGTAACTAAAAATATTTCCACACAAAAAATCTTTCTCCGCTTTCATTTTGGGATTCTAAAAGGCATAAAGAGAGAAAAAATGTTTTTTTTAAAAACCCACTTCAGTCCAAGTCATTGTTGCAGACTCATTCAGTAAATTAAGCCTTCTTGATGCATTCACTTTAAATCCATTGTTTTTCAGCTTCAACAAACAAATGTGTTGTTGCTTACGTCCTCTCCGAGAACAAACATTTACCAACTAAAGTTCATTAAAAAAACAGGAAAAACTCTAGGTTTTTCTGAAGGAGCACTGATTCATTTCCCAGCTTCAACCAAAGCTCTCTTTTCATTTCCTGAGCCCTTCTCTCCTCAGAGGCAGGATTTGTAGTCGTTGCTAATTCCACTGCACTTTGAGGTTCGCTGATTTGCATTTCTGCTTCTTCTCAAACTCCCTCTCTGCTCCTTCTCCTCCTGCAGCTTTGTTCCACTTTGCATTTCATTTAGAGGAGGATGCTGAGACTCTTCGGCAGTCAGAAATCATCCACAACAAGTTCCTCTGCCCCGCGGACACGGAGCACATACTTTCCTGAATGAGCTGCTTATTGTGTGTAATGGGCTCAAATGTTCAAGCAATCCCCCACCGTACAGAGGGACCGATGAGTGGATTTGTGTTTTAACTGGGCTTTTCACTCATTTGAAGTGGACAGGACTGAGATGCGGAAAGTTGTCAAGGATGATTTAAGCTTCCTGCGAAGTTATTAACATTTAATATTAAAGCTAAATTAATCAGAGTGACAGGAGTTAAGGTCAGTGACTGATACATAGTAGGACAAACAACCTGTTTGAGGCCCATCACACCTAATAATCATGGACAGATGCATAAGCTCAATATACAACATAGTTAATCATAGGCCAGTGGTTTTCAAAGTGAGGGCCACCAGGGGGCACTAGGACGGTTCAGAAAAGTGAAGGGAAGTTTAGAAAGAAAATGCAGAAAATATTTTTATTACATTTCTACAGAACCATACAACTCATAATCATTCCCACTTTTCCTACGGTACTTGAACTCACCTCGTGTGACAGGTGCAACTTCAGCATAACAACATCACGGTCTGTGTAGACCTGGTGGTTTCTGCCTGTTATCAAGAAGCTCTGCTCCTCAAAGTACCATGCAGCCAGCTACTGAAAATGGACATATTTTTGACTAGAAATAAACCAACAAACCTGTTGTGGGGGGAAAAAAACACCTTAGAACTCGTGGCCAACTAAGATCCAAAAATGTAAGGCAGCAGACAGCAAGACTGGAAACGTTTGGGAACCCCCTGTTAAAGGTGAGCGCATAAATTAAATGGCTTATATTTTACAGATCAAATCATAGATGTCAAAGGTGAATTGTTAGTTTTAGTGAGAATGAGAATCTACATTTAAATTTTAAAAAATAATAATTAGTTTAAAAAATATTTTTATCAGTAAATGTTTTTATGAATTACTAGACAATTCATGCATTTTAATCCTAGGCGACCATACGTGGGGTCGCAACCCCAAGGTTGAGAAACACTGGTCTGCACAGACAAATCCATAAATTGAGCACTCCTGTTCTGTCTGTAGCAGTTCATCAACACTGGACAGTCGTCCCTGAGCAGTTCTCACACTGCAGCGCTGCTGAACGGTACGCCTTCCACACCAGCGGGTTCTGCTGACACACTGTCCCTCCGCCCCGCTCCTCCTCTGCCTCATTGCGATTTATGTCCCCTACACAAATCCAGCCTCCGTCCTGGGACGCCTTACTGCTGACCGCCCACTTGGAGTGGTCCTGACTAGTCTTAAAGGTGAATGTCTGGCCTGGGTTTATGACCTGAATGTCCAGGACCTTCCAGCGCAGGGAGCAGTCTGAGGGGAGGATGCCCCTGGAGCGAATCCAGAACTGGACCAGGAGGTCGGACTGCAGCGCTGGAGCCACCCAGGAGTGGTAGAGGTCTGGCCAAGTAGAAAATGGGAATATTTGTCCCAAAATTAGAACACTGTCATCTATAAGGAATGTTTTTTAAGCAGATGTATTACCATTCTTAAAGGCGGCTCCTTTGGCAAAACTGATAAACTCTGTTCCACCCTTTGATGTCAACGTCACACTGCGATTGGTTGCTGCTTTTACATGTTTTTTCTCACAGACAGCAGCCAGAGCCGGCACCAGGGAAGCGAGGGACTCCGGGACGTCACAGTCGTACACACTGGGCTGATTGATCTGCAGCTGCTCTCCTGTGGTGAGAAACGAGAATGAAGGAAGAAACTGCAGCCACCTGTAGACTCACAGCCTGGTGTTTATTTTCACATTGCTTGGAAACCTTACCCATTTGTGGTTGTTGAATCAAAACCAGTGTCTGGTTTGGTTTTTACTCACACAGCAGAATTTTGTTTTTGACCAAACTGACTGCTCTGTTTCTAATGCCGACAGTTTGTTTTGTGCATTGTAGCTGCTTGTCTTTATCCACACTCAGTCAGGGCTGTCTAATTAATTAGCATTTTGGTGAAGCTAAGTCTAAATGTTAAGCAAAATGGAGGGTGCTGTGCTAATTGGCTAACTGGTAGCTAGGGTCAGCCTTACTTTTGTTATTTTCACTATTTGGTGATATTACTAGTCTGATTTGTACACATTTCTTTGCTAAATCTGTGATATTTATCTGGCTAATATTTGGCTAACCTGTCTTAAACTGGTGTCTCACTTGTAGCTAGTGTTGAACAAATGTTATTTATCTTATTTATCAATCTTGAAACGTCATAGCAAGATATCTGATTCAAAATTATGATTAGGAAAATGCAAATGTTAACTCTGCTAACTTAATGTTTTTGGGGTTTTATGGAGGGGGGGTTCTACTTATTTTCAGTGTTTTTTCATAAGCGTCTTCTAATTTCTGACCTGCGTGCTTAGTATTTATATACATGCTGTGAAAAAGCACTCGATTAATGTGAGGATAAGAGCAGCAAATGGAAACTGTGCCCTGGTTTCAGCTTCTGCCTGTTGGAAGCACGTCAGGAACACTGTCACATGTCCCTGTATCACAGCTGCAGAGGCGACAACATGACAGAGCGAACGCCTGCTGCAGCGTGAGGGGCCACTGTCTATCACTATGGTTACAAACCGCAGATTAATTACAGTAGCACGGGCTGCCAATGCTGCAGCAACACTGCCAACTGCTGGCTGTAACGGCACAATGACACACCCTTCCTCTAACTTTCTGAGGAATAAAACTTGCCGTGGTGTCATCACCTGACTGGATGATTAATTGTGACGGTCACGAGTGAATGTTTTGAGTGAATATTTTCCTCATGATAAAGCAACCTATAATCGAATAAAATGATCCGCTGCTCTAATGCTGACACGTAACTTATGTCTGATTTGAAATGGTTTCGTTGTCAAACAGGAAAAAACACAGTTCTGTGGTTTTGGAAAGTGAAGCCAATGTGGAAAATTGTGAACTCAATACTCCGGAATAACCACCAGGAGGTGACTTAACTGATATAAACAGTCAGAAACCGAATGATAAATCCTAATCTTTCTCTTACAATTTCACAAAATGAATTTCAACAGGATTTTTATCAGGGCTTATATTTGATCTTCTGGAGAAATTCCAGTTTTTCAGCAGTTTTAATCGACTTTGGTTGGTTGAAAAGAAAAAAACCCAGCCATGACCAAGTTTTGCTGTTAACATTCAAAAATTCATATTCATATTCCTCTATTTTTCTAGGTCCATTTATGGTTTTGCTCATTTCTGCCTCTCCTGTCTGTCATTTTCTACCCCTTTCAATTTTGTCCTGTAACAAGAAGATGTCAGTGAACTACTTGAACAATCTACGAAACATTGAATAATGCTGCCTGTATTGTATTAGCATACATCAAAGTCCAAAGCCAGATGTTAAAATTCAAAAATTGTCTCACAGGGGCTAAAACCTAATTTGACAAGTTTGACATCTAAGAAGGTTTCTAACCCTCAAAGAACTGAACTTCTGCTTTTTAGTGAACATCTACATAAAGCTCATATTAAATTACCAATGGTCTGGAAACGTTCCAGTGTGTAGGTAACACAGATGAAGTTTTGCCCGTTGTTGACGCCACTGTCGGGGTAAGAGTACTCTCCCGTCTGTCGTTCGGGGGGGAAGTGAGGGGTGCTGTGGACTAACCAGAAACCTTGGTTTTTGTCGAGCAGCACGACGCCTGAAGAGCAGAGATCAGAGACAACAGTGAGGAATTCAGTCCAGTCTGGAGGGACTTAGGAGCAGGTGGTCCTACGTGTTGCACCTCTGGGTACATGTCAAAGTGAGGTTTGTTTACAATGAAGACTATTCATGCTACAGAACTCTCAGAGTCAGGTTGATGTGCTGTTCACCTTTGGTGTGCCCCCCTATGGTTCCACTGCTGTGTCCCCGTCTGTCACCTGATCCCTGTGGCGGCCTCTGATCATTGTACAGGACGTAGGCCATCTCTGGGTTCTGTGAAGAGAGCAGTGTGTCGGTTACAACTGAAATCAAGCTTGCGATAATTTGGACAAATGAAACATTAGCATATTTCATGTTAAGACGAGACAGAGCCGAGCAGGGGCAGAAACTAATGTAGTCATCGGAGGCCTTTATTACCACGTGAATGTTTCAGAATTTTGGATTTCATATAAGCCATTTAGTTAAATGTTTTATTTTACTATCACTTTACTTATTTTGGGTTTTTGTAGGCTAATTTCTGTTCTTTTTGCTCTTTGGTTGATTCCAACTCTAATGCTTTTAACTTTTAACTATTTTAACTCTAATGCTATTTGGTAATGTTTAGCAAGCTAGCAAAGCTAGATAGTTAGCTAACAAGGTAACCAATAGAACCACCAGAAAATATTTTTTATAATTTTCTATGGCAAACCTTTAGGGGTTATTAATACAATATGCTTTTTGTAATTGTGTACGTGTACATCAATAATGTTTAGTCTAATCTAATAACACTCAGATCATTATAGCTTTTTGGTTTTTCGCTGGCTGTATTTTACGCTGTTACGTAAGACTTCAAACATCTGCATTAAGATCACAAAACCACTGCAGTATTTTCGTTTCCCATTTTCACAATTTAATTTTTTTTGTAGTAAAAAATAGTGTTAATAGAATCACTTCTCGAAGTAAAAATGTCTAAGACTGCATTTCTTCATGTGACCATTGAGGAAAAAATGCAAATAAGCAAAAGATAAATCACAGCTGCATAAACAGACTTGCAGCAAATATCTGAAGAACTGTTTGGTATTCACTGCTTCTCTAGCATAATACCTATGCTAATGTACATCCAAATAAATCAACAACAAAAAGAGGAAGGAAATTAAATACTGGTCACCTTGGATTTGAATAATAAAAAAGAATTCCCTGTCTGTTTGATGTGAAATAACATTATTTCACCCAAAACTAATTTGAACTGTTTCAACAAACAAATCAACCACACACAGACACAGACCTTTCCTTGAGAGTACAGTGGTCCCAAAGTCCTGCCCAGAGCTCCTGTGGTGTCGTTCACTATCACCTTACCTTCAGTCCACCCTTCACTGCCATTGTCCATAAGCAAGTACTTTTCACCATTTTGAGATGAACTGCCATGTTGTTTGGGCAGTTTGTACAGATAGAACCTAGAAAACAAATACAAATACATTTATAATCCTGATTTACATACACAGGTCATAAATAAGGAATAATAATAATAATGATGAGGAGGATGATTCCTCTTGAATCCGAGGTTGTCTCAGTATTAAAAAAGCAACACCAGTGAAGGTATTTAAATTACTACCGAGCATTAGACTTAACGTTTATTTGTTTAAACATTTTTATTATTTTACCAGTCAACCGCTTCCCCTTGGTCATTGTAGCAACTGATTGGTGAGCTGTCGCCCTCCAATGGCACAAAGAAGATCAGCAAGGAAAGGTGCAGAAACATCTAAAGAAGAATTAGATAATTACAGGTCACTGCTAGTAAAGAGCAATGATGTGAAGTGTTGTTACTCAAGTTGACTTTATTTAAACGAGTACTCCCATTTCTGCGATTTAAACAGTGTTATAAAACACAACTCTTATATATAAATATACTATATATATACTTTATATATATATATACTCAGCGATAAAGTGAAGTACTTTTTTCTGGGAAACGTTCTGGGAAAATGGTTATACTTTAGTAAAGTAAATTTATTGCTTTGCTGTTCAAATGTACCACAAATAATTTCTATTAAAAGAATTTCTATTAAAGAATCCAGTTTGTAAGTGATGACTGTCCTTTCCTCAGGCATTGCATTTAATAGCAAAAGTGTATTTTAAATCTGTATTGTTATTTTTACTGTATAATAATGATTAATATATGCGGTAAATAATGACTATGGTGTATGTGACTGGGTGAAGAGTTAAACACAGTAATACCGAAAGAGTTAAACAGTCATTTATATGTCCTAACTGTAGTTTATGGCTTATTTTAGGCGTATAACCTAAAAAAAGTTTCAGGATGTATAAACCACCAAACTTTCAAAGAGCAGAACACTGACAAAAACACTGACCTCTGACCATATGTCTTCGTGATCGACCTCAAATTTTAACTGCGCTCTGGTTTGTTAGCGTGGATCCCTCTGTGTGAACTGATTCCGTACAGGTTTCAATTCCAGTTACAGTCATGTTTTGATTTAAGATATCAAGAGTAGGAAGAGACTGTGACATCACAGATTAGCATGCTAACTGAGAGCCAGCTGGTGACCGCCGTTAAAATAGTGAGACGCAGTTCCAAATGTAGAATAACAACTATACGAAGTAAAAACAATGCAAAGAGTTCGGGGATTTGTTGTAGGCAATTTTATTCACAAGAGAAACAAAATACTCGAGAAGTTGAGGTTGTATCGCTCGTAAATTGCTATTTCCGCGTTCCTCAGGATTCTTTGGCGTCCTTGTTATGATTGGTCAGGTGATTAAAGGCGTCATTAGGTAGGCGGGGTATGCAGTCCTATAAAATAAAATTGGTCAAAGAACTGTACAAAATATAAAAAAATAGTTACATCGAGGGCAACTGGACGGAGTAGGTTTTATGAAGACGTTTCACCTCCCAACCAAGAGGCTTCTTCGGTTCTGGGATACAAAATATAGTTTTTAATCTTCAAAAGCACCCTTAAAAAGACAATACAATACAAAGAAAAACATACGGACTGTGTGGCTTTAACATTTGCTTCTAGTTCCACTCTGTTTGACCAATTATGTTTTTTAACAAAACAAGTAGCTTTGTTCCCCTTTCTTGCTTGTCCACTACCTAAAACAGTCAAGGCTTTACTATAAAGGTAATTCAGAGCCTGACCAGGATTTTATTTATAATTTGTAATTGATTGCTGTCTAAAAAAAGACTCCTTTTGTTTATTTTTTCCTAACTCCCTTCACTTAACATATTTAAATATAGAAAAATACAATTTCATCAAATACAGCTAATTTTTTCCTTTGGACTTTTTGTTTTCTCATTGTCAACATTCTGTTTAAGGAAGTGACACAGTGACCTCTTAAAAAACTCTTACATCCCCTATAGCCAAACCAGGACTTCCTTTTAGAGTTTTACTCAGAACGGAAAAGTCTTAACACACAGGAGAGCAGTGAAGGCCACATGAGGACTGATCTGGATGTTGACATGAAGTGACCCTGACTATTTTCACACAGTTGCTAGATCTCATAAGAGCAATAAGAAAGTTGTTAACAGTGAGTCTACATTAACCCTCCCACCATCACCCCTCAGGCCTCATGTCAAACAGTGTAAAGTATTTATATCAGCAACATCAATAAGTTTTGTATGTAACCTATGTAACTTGTTGATAGTCAATGTTGTGCCTACTTATGGTTCCTAAAATGCATTATATTTTTAGAAAACTTCTTAGCCCCAAATTTACTTTAGGGTGACAGTGTTTGTACATAATTTGCTTCAGAATTGTTTTGAAAAACAACTGTTTGATCACTTGCCTGTGACCGAGTGGTTTATTCAAATGCAAATTTGTAAAGGCATTTCCTAAAAGGGGAACTGCAGTTAGTTTTTACACCTAGGTATGTGGTCAGCTGTCTCTGAACTATGACTAAGATATCTGATCTAACGCACTAGTTCTCGCAATGTTGTAAACAAAGACCAGAATGTAAAAATCAAGAACTATTATGGACCAAGTCATTACTCTAATGTAAAGAGGAACACAATACAAAATATTCATAACACATCGCATTTGTCATTTATATGGAGGCTAAAGTTTGCTCTATTTCACAAAGTGTGTGCTAAAAAGCCATGGTTTCTGAAATAAACTTACAAACGATGTTCACTGTGGAAGAGGAACTACGCGGTGTGTTTAGTACTGTAAATATTGTGTGGTCTGTCTGTGGGGGAGGTGATTAGTGTCATCACACTCACCTGTGTGTCTGTCATTAGCCTCACTCGTGTCACCTGGTGCCCTGGGCAAATATACCTCTCTCCCTCACCTCTCTGTGTTATTAGGATTATTGTGTGGTGATCACACCTTATCTTCCCTGTTAGTTTCTTGAGAACCCAGTAGGTGGATGTGTTTTAGGTTTATTCTGAATAAACTTCCTGCTCCTGAAGACAGTCTCCTACGTGTTGCATTTGGGTCCTGCCTGCTTTCTCTCACGGCACAACAAATATTCTTTAATCCAAAATAAATTACATTTATATATTTTAACTTATTGTGTTATTTTAGTATGATTTATATTTTTGGGGCACAAAACACAAAAAGCTACACAGAAATGGCTCTGGTAGATTTTTATTTTCACATACAAAATAATAATAATAATAAAAAATCACCACATACAGTCAGACTCACCACTGCTGACCCTCAGGTGTTTTTTAATGTCTACTGTACAAGAAAGTAGCATCGCCTGTACCAACAACAGTAACACACACTCACATAAACCATTCAAGCACTCTCTGCAGACGTTCAGTAAAAGACACAACCTGGCCATGGTAAAGCGTAATTATTGCTCCAATTTACTATGACTGGTGAGAATGAATAAACATCACAGTTTTATGATCAAATCATGTTAAAAGCTGTGCAGTGTAAATATCAATGGCTTCGCAATAATCTCCACAGGTTTGACAATGACATTTTTTAATAAATTATAACGTCAACTGAAACCACTCTTCCGAGGTCCAGTGAATAATATTAGGAGGGTTTTATTGTCTGGAACCATAAGTGCTTTGAAATTGTTTTGTTTTGGTAGCCTTGTAATAAGCGTCTCGTACCACCATGATTCCATAGCAGCCCTTGAGAAGACACCAGCTGGTAATTCTGCTCATGAAATTTTAAAACAAAAGCTTACAAAAAGAAATGAGAGAGAATAAAAAGAGAAGTCTTGTTTGTTGCAATTTGGGTGCCATCAACAGATGTCACTAATCCTCACACGTGTGACCTTTGACAAAAACTTATGTGGCTTCAATACTGGAATGGCTTCCACATTAGCCATACAGCCCTCAGGTTTGAAGCATGCATGGAAGTGCCGTCCTCTGCTCGTCCATGCGTCCACCTTGGACCCTCAGGAGCAGGGAGAAAAAGTCCTCATCATCCATGGGACCAGGAGCTCTACTGCGCTGGTCCTCCAGCCTACCCTGAGCCTGTGGGTGAAAGAACAATAATTAAAAATAAATAATATATCTTGCGGCAGGAAGTTCACAATGGACGTTAGTTTCCCTACTTGTGTGGTGAGAATCATATCGTACAGATCCTCTTTAGGCACAGTAACCGGCGCAGGCTTTTTCACCAAAGAGAGCTGCTTTATGCTGCCTCTGAAACTTCTGAATCTGCCTTTTGGTGGTGAGAGCCTTCCCAGCTGTGCCCTTTGGTCATCAAGCCGACGAGCTTGAGTGGTGGCCACCAGCTCAAAAAACTCCTCTCTTTGCAGGGAGGTCATCGAAGAGAAGACGACTGAATAGAAAGGAGGGAAAAGAAGTGTTGAGGATTTCACAGAGGTCATCATCAGTAACAGCAGCAGGTCACGAACATCTGAAACACTGATGAGTCACAGTAAAGCGGCAGCTTTGTGTTGTGTCAGTGTGAGCAGCGTGAGTCAGCAGCACTGTATGGAAACTGGTGCACCGACTGCAATGATTTCGTCTCTTTAACCGCTTGACATGGTTCATTCAGCGGTTTCCATGTGTAGTTATATGACCTTTTAACATCGTTTCTAGAACCTAATGTATACTTGATTTTTTTTTCAAAGTGTGAAATATTCTACATGGTATATTTAGATAGAAAGGTACAATGATTGGACTTTGAGGAGTAGGTGACTCTCAAGGTGTCATTGTTATCTGATGTGATGGGAAGAACCCTCTCACCCAAGATATTATGCAAAAGAGAGGCCACTGAGCAACAAGAAACAAAGTTGGGAGGGTAATGGAAGACTCCAGACTGAGACTGACTCAGCACTTCTTATTAACATCCTGACGGTTTGTTGATCTGTAACTGCTTGTTCTAGCTAGATTAAACTTTGTTTTTAACAGTCTCCTAATATCTTAATTTGACTGAATACATTTATCCTTCAACTCTTTTTAACACACAGTTACCAGACTCATACAACTGAGATGAGAATAGATAGTATACCAAAATAGGTTTACCGCCACAGGAACTAACACCAGCAACTGAACACGATACTGAATGCTATATGTGTTTCCACTACATGGAGCAGAAACTAAATGCAAAGGGCAATCCGCAAAAATTATTATAACCACCTCCAAAAACAGGGTCCTCATTCCAGTTAGTATCAAACACAACACAAGATATCTGCAACCCTGTTCATACATTAGAAGACTTTTAAGGCCATACAATTGCAGAAGTTGAAATAGACTTTTTTTCTCTTCAGAATACAGCACATATGCAACTTTGTCCTCTTAAAGTATTGTTTCCCAAAGACTGGGTCGCGACCCTTAGGTGGGTTGCAAGAGATTTTTTGGGGGGGATTGTCACGCATCATGTTTCCCAGGAATTTACAAATAATGTCTATTGACTTGGGTTGTGAAGGTTTGTGACTTTTAAAACATGGGTCCCCAGAAAAAAAGTCTTAAAGTGCCTGTGAAACTGTACCTCTGTGGGCTGGTTTGTTGGTGTTGGGCTCAGAGTGACACCTCCGCCTTGGGCCCCTGCTCTCCAGTGTGAAGGAGCAGCGCTGGTCATTGAGTCGTCTGCCTTCCTGAAGGGTGCACAGCAGCTCGTACAGAGCTTCTGGGAAGTCAGGAGTTAAACGGTGAGTCTGAAAAAAAAAATAACGTGGGCAGGTGACAGAAAGAACACGAGGGAGGGAGGGAGGGAAAGGAAAGGTATGTGAGTGAGTGAGTGGCACAGAATGTCAAGTTGGCACACTCAAAGAATTCACTTCCTACGTTCTCTCTCATGAACAACAGAAAATACCTGTTGCTTTGTCCTCCAGCACAGGCAGTGAAAACACTTCCCTGTCTGCTTATTCAATCGTGTATGGCACCAAATGAAAATCAAGCATTATACAAATATTCACCAACCTCCTCTCGGTGATCAGAAATGTTCAACCTCTTCATCACCAGCTGTGGCTCAGTTTGTGCAACAGTTTCTTCAACTGCTTCAGTGGATTTCTCAGGGTTTTCCTTGTTCTCAACAGCTTCTTCCACCTGATTCTCCACATTCTGTCTGTCCGCTGAGATTTCAGTTTCATCTGGCAAGTCATCTCCCTTCTTCTCCATTTCATCCTCGACAACTTTTCCCTGGTCACTCTCCGTCTTGACGGGCTGTGTTTCCAAGTTCTTCTCCTCGGAACACATTTCACTTTTTTCTTCTCCTTTGTGCTTCTCTTCCTCTTTCATAAATGACTCTTTGCTATGGTTCTGTGCAAAAGTCGTCTCTTTTTGAACAAAATTTGTCTCTCCCTCCTCAGTGATAACAAGCGGTTCCAGCTGTCCCTCTTCCCCAGCCATTTCAACTTTGTTCTCTCGGCTGTCCATTAATCTTGCTGTCAAACCCTGACAATAAGATGCAAACAAACACGGGTTAGAGCAAAAAAAATTGAAGTCAAACTAAGGCAAAGGCTCAAAGTAACCCATTCTACAGACCTCAGCAAAGATTACACATAACAACCATAAAAATGTAGACTGAAATAGACATGAAGTTACTCTGGTGCAACTGTGGCTTTCTTTCCTGCTTATGGGCTTTTAAGGAACAAGTCTGGCAGGTTGAAGCATGTTGGCTACAGATGTTTTAGCTGAAAATCCCATATTAAGTAATGTATTCCTGTATCTGTATGTCAACAAGTGAGTGAGACAATGTGGCTGAAGTACTTGTTGTTGAATGTGGTTGTAGTGCTCACCAAAAAAAGTTTTGGTCCAGTTACATTCCTTTGTTGTTTTGATCCCCTGTGAAAGAAAAGTATTTTCTTACCTTGGATTTTTTTAAGACGTCCTCCTCAAAATGTCATCTGCATACGCTCCCAGAGCACAGCATTGTAGGTGTACTACTTGTTCTTATCTCTTTGTGAAGAAAACGAAAAGAAGAAAAAACCTTGTACGAAGGCTTTCACACAGAGACGTGATGAGCTCTCACACCGTCTGTCTGCCTCTTTACCTCCTCTGTCTCTCAGCTCTTCTCTTCCTGTTCCTCTTACCACAACCCACCCCTGTGCATTTGACCCACTACTGACAAGTCATGCTCATTTAAATGTTGGTCTGGTGCCCCCCCCTCAGAGTGCATTTGCATAATCATTGTATGCTAGTGTCCACATTGAATAGAAATAAAGAAGAATCAGAGTTTCGGCGTAAGCGGTTATTTCAGTAGATGCAGCAGCTGGAGGCAGATGTCGCTGCTTTAACTGCTGCTCATTTGATTATGTCAGCTCAACTGCAACATGTTGAAACAGGCGCACAGTTTTGTGATGGCATTGTGGTTTTGGCTCACATCCTGTTGACTTGCAGCTAAAAGGAGAAGTCGAGTCAGACGAGTATGGAGGCTTCTGTGAAATGAAATTAGCACTTTAAACTGTGAAATTATAATCTGAGTGTTTATTCACATGCCTGTGGCAGCGGCATGGCGAAAACAACAGGGTAAATTTAATCCTCGTAGGCGCAACACACTTGCGATAATTTTACAGCAATTATTGTACAAACTCTGTTCTGACTTCCTCTCATTTATACAAACTAAATTAAGTTTTATCCTTTGCATTAACCATTATGACTGAAACCCAACTTAATTTTAATATTATTCTTAACCATTTTGTTTGCAAAGCAAGCATACACACTGACATTCCAGTGTAAAAAATGTTGGTGTTGACAGGATCAACACTGGAAGACAGAGAAGGCATGCAGAAGTATTGTGTTGTGTTGTTTACATGCAAACCAGTTGTGTCACTGCTTCTGCCGCTTCACCGAGTCAGTGCTGGTGCTTGTGGCCACAAAGTGTCTCCGAAGATTGTTGCGAATGTCCCAGGAGGGGACGTTGTTGTCTAAAAATACTGCAATATATTTACAGTCATCCTACAAAGAGTCAACAGCCTGAAAAGAATTGTTTATAAAAACAATTCTGCTTCTCCTAAAGAATGTACATTTAATTTGGTATCTATTTTTTTGTGTATTGAGTAAGTTTGCAGTTGTATCCACCACTAAACCACTGTTTAATAGCCCCCATTAGTGCACAATGTTTTAAAATAAAATGCTCATGTAGCATAGATTATTTTTAAAATAAAACCGTATAATACACAATTAATTGAATTTGCTATGAAACAATGATGCTGGTGTGAATAATCTCAGAATGTATGTGAATAATGGCAATCATTTAAAAAAAATTAATTTGTTGCCCAGCACTGATTTAACTATATTCTACTACAAGGTGTTACTTTTTAAAAAAATACTAAATACTAAAGAGCACGTGTGAATTATAATGACATTAGAAAGACTAAACTTTGACAAAGTATTCACCTTAAAAAGCTTACTTATACTTTGACAAAGTATTCACCTTAAAAAGCTGATTGCTACCTTTTCCACTGTTTTAGTTGAGTAAACATCAAATGTGTGACTGATATGCAATGAACTTCAGATAATGGCAATATTGGCCGAGGACGGTCAGATCTAACTACTGGGACCCCATATAGACTCGATACGTCTCTGCCAATACCATTATTTTCGCAGTGTTTATATGATTTCCATATCAGTCGCTAGGGGACCCTGCCCTCACTGTGTGATGCCTGGGATGTGCTGGTACTGCGTCTGTGAGCGCAGTTGGGCAGCAGTCGTCGCCACTGTGCGTCGTCGCTGAAGATGTTGCAGCAGCAGCAGCCACTGACAGGCAACGGGGCCTCTAATGGCCGGGGACTCGGCATGAGCGGCCACCCGGGGATGCATGCGCTCAATACGGTCCACCAGCCCTCCCAGCACCGGTCCGACGGAGGGGACCCCGCGGGCCTGGAGGGCTCCGAAAACGGACACGAAAGCCGCAGAGACATTGGGGACATACTGCAACAAATAATGACCATCACTGACCAAAGTTTGGACGAAGCGCAAGCAAAGTTAGTGAGCACTTAAAATTATTTAAATGTTACATTTAAAAAGGCGCTGGTGCTTTTTGTTTTGCCTCTTTGTTGATCGCGACTCGCTGTGGCAAAGTTTCCTGAACTTCACTATTTTGTATAGTTTTGCAGCATGTGGCTAAGCAATTAGCAGGTGGAAATGACGTAGTGTTTGTCATAATGAGCTCAGATTAAATTGTATACGCATTAAGGGGGTTATTGTGTGTTGCGATGATTTATGTTTGTTTGTTTTAGCACCTTCGCCCTAGAAGCCATTGTTAGCATGCTAAACTAAGCTAAGTAGCTCATTCTAGCTGATGCTATTGTAAACAATGCGTCGCTATTTTTCCGTTGCTGTGTTACTATAAAAATGCACTTTTTGCTTAATTTTATTTATCATCTGTATCTAATAAGGACATTCGCTCGTTTATTTTTATACTGTACACTTTCAAGTTCAGCCTACATAGCCCATGGCTAACCTATCCTAGATTAGCCAAAGCTAGTTGTTGTGATACTTGTTTTGTTTCGTTCTTTTCTATTTGACTGTATCGAGTCTGCTTTTTTGACATAAATATTATTTTCTGGATACAGGAAACATGCACTCAACTGTCACCGGATGAAACCTGCATTGTTCAGCGTTTTGTGCGAGATTAAAGAAAAAACTGGTATGTTTTTGTTAATTCTTAACTATTTTTACTCTGTCAGTGTAGACCTTAAATTATTTCACATTTTTCTGGTTATGCAAAACGTGTTTTACGGTTTTAATAAATGATGCAAGTGTGTCACTAAAGTCTATAAAACAAATTCAATGTCCTCCACACAGAGACAGACACACACACACACCCACTCAGCCAGTCACACAAAGGGTAAGTTTGCTTAGGGCTGTTGACAGTAATACTCATTATTGTCATTTACATTGTCAAATAGTGCCTGTCAAAAAGGCAAGACCTTATTAGACAGTGACATCCTTTGTATAAAAGTCAACACATAAAAATAGACACAAAAGACAACAGCTGGATAAACACAGACCCCAGTGCCCAGTGGGACATACAGTGGGTGTATATCTGAAAATAACGCAGCATTTCTGGCATGTGTAGAATTTGCAACTGTTTGTGGTAAATGTGGGCAATGCTGTTAGGTAGTTCACTTAGAGTTTGGATATCTTTGAATTTTAAAGGCAGCGTTAAAGCAGTCTGTTGTAGTGAGCTTCAGAGGAGGGTCAAAAATTCACTCTAATAATTGTTCTAAGAGTGACTCCTAATGACATTAGTTCTAATGACTAATTGATAAGCTAAATGTTATTAATTAGTCAATAATCAGCTAACAAGTGCAAAAAATTGGACCAATGTACTTAATGGTCAAGAAAAACAGTTACAGTAAAACAAATTTCCAATGCTGACAAGGGTAATAGTTAGATTAAAGTAAATCCAGTATTAAAGTAACAGCTAGCAAAAAAATTATATATTAATGAAATATTAATAAAATGTTATTATGTAAAAGAATCATGACAGAAAAAAAGCTGCACAAAAAAAGAGAATCATGACAGAAAAAAAGCTGCACATTTGGTGAAATAGGTAAATTTGAAATTTAGCTCCAAAACAAAAAATGTTAAGGTGGAGAATTATGGTGAAAGTAAACTGTATTTAGCAGAACAGAAAACTTGTACTTTTCATGTGCATTATTTTTTCACGGTTTATGATAAGAAGATTTATGAACAGAATATTTGTGCCAAATTAAATACACTTCGTTGCCATGTTAACTTTTTCTAATTATAACCAAGAGATTCTGGTTTTGGTTTAATTAACAGGTCTGTCGATGAGAAACGCACAAGAGGAGGAGCCACAAGATCCTCAGCTAGTGCGCTTGGACAACATGTTGTTGGCAGAGGGCGTAGCTGGCCCAGAAAAGGGTGGAGGAGCAGCTGCTGCTGTGTCTGCAGCCACCAGCTCTGGAGGGATGTCCCCTGACAGCTCTCTTGAGCACTCCGACTACAAAAGCAAGTTGAGCCAGATTCGCAGTATCTACCACACTGAGCTGGAGAAGTATGAGCAGGTATTGTGTCGCAACAGAGCTGACATTGCCTGTGCACGCTTGCTTCTACTAAAGCTGCTCTCCAGAACTGAAGTTCACTGACATGTTAGGTCTAGACTTCATACTTTTTAACATCTTCCTGTCTGAGAATACATGCTTGATACAGGATGTAGTGCAGAACACCAGGAAGAATGCACAAATACTATTGTGTGCTATATAAGCAGTACTGTTGCATGAACAGGTCTAGTCTACGTTTAAACTTTATCAGAGACAATAGGTTCATAAAAGAGATTTGACTTGGGTTAGTTTTATGATTTTGAGAGCAGATATAAGTATAAAGCAGGCTGTGCTTTTCAATACTTATAACTGCCACACCTCAAACTGGAATTAATGACACATCTGTTTCAGTTGAAGAACAAAAACAATGAATGAGTGTTGTTTTAAAGGTAATAAGGTAGTTTTAACCTAAAAAAAAACCAATGTGTAAAGTGACAGAAAGCATTCTCCTTATAATCCTGACACACCATGGTTTTTACCTGTTCAGACTAATACACATTCTAAAAACATTTTGGATCAAATGACAGACAGCTGTGTTTCCAATCTTTCCTGTTACATAAGTTGCCTCCATTCTCTGGATGACATTAGTAACCAGAGCAGTTGCAATGCTTTTTAAACATGCAGTAAATAGATATACAAATAGAACTTTATGAGTCCCTCGGGAGGTCGCATCAGGAAATGGAAGTAGCCAGACTGTGTTTTAATATCATCCGATCAATACAACCTTTTCTGATGACTTAATGGATACTTTTAAATTCCTTTATCAACTCTTCATGTCTCCCATCAACTCAAAAAGTAAGATGTCTTCCATTAGGGAAAGTGAACTGTAAAATATGCTCATATAAAAGAAGGTAAGTAGAGTTTGTTTCTGTAGCACATTTAAAACGGCAATAGCTACCAAAATAAGAAAAACAAAAATACTTTTACTTTAGAAAAGGATAAAATCAAAGTATAAAATGCAACCTGGCTCAGTTTAAAGATATTGTATTCCTGGCAACTTTCAACTGTCTGACCAGCCCCCTAGTAAAGATTGGTTCTGGGCTGTGATAGAGAAACCAGTTCATACATTGATGGATTTTTTTTGTTTGTTTTTTATTTGCACCTACTGTCTGCGGTAAATGAAAAAAATACCTTGAATTATGAAAATATAATATTAAAAAATAACCAGTTATTGGGGGAACTCAATAGACCACAAACAATTATCGAGGAATAGCTGTTTTGTACTTTACTATCCCTTCACTGTTTTTTCTCCCACTGCTCCCAGGCGTGCACTGAATTTACCACCCACGTGATGAATCTGCTGAGGGAACAGTCGCGCACACGGCCTGTGACACCACGGGAGATCGAGCGCATGGTGGCCATCATCCACCGCAAGTTCAGCTCCATCCAGACTCAGCTGAAACAGAGCACCTGTGAGGCCGTCATGATCCTCAGGTCTCGCTTCCTGGACGCCAGGTGGGTCTGTACATCTGTATGTGATTGAAAATAAGTTGGTCAAAACATTTTTAAAGGTTATGGATCAATTGTTTGTTATGAAGTTTTGTTATTTTTAACTTTTTTTAAACATAAAGGATTCATAAGAGTAACATAATAAATGAAGTAAACCAAAAATATAATAAAATAAATATATCATATACTGTATACAAAATGAAATAATAAAATGAGTGAATAATAAAAATCATACGCATGATTCCAGGGTATTCAACAATCACACCCAGCTAGAGATGTCAGAGATTCAATATGGTTTAGTCAACTCAAGTTTGGCTTTTTTTATGTAAATCCTTTTCTGGTTAGAAGTTCTTGTTTTCTTTCCCACAATTGTTCATATTTTCTTGATGCCTTTTTAAGGGCTTATAGTGTATGCTCTTAGCTCAATAAACTGCTTGTAATGTTTTCAAATAGCAATTATTTTCAGCTAATACTGAAAAATGTCTCCACTCTTTCTTCTCAAACTAATTATTGTCTCATTGTTTCGTCATTTCTGTTGTAGACGTAAGAGGCGTAACTTCAGTAAACAGGCCACAGAGGTCCTGAATGAGTATTTCTACTCCCACCTGTCCAACCCTTACCCTAGTGAAGAAGCCAAAGAGGAACTCGCCAAACAGTGTGGAATAACCATCTCTCAGGTAAACCAGTGAAAACTGTACTGGTACCTAAAGTTTCATTTATTTGGAATTTCCTTTTATTTAGAAATGTGAGAATTAGATGTAATTTGCAGTGAAGCCTGACTTTAACTTATAACTTTGATGCTACCTGTGTGTCAACAGGAAGTTCAGTTTTTGAATTGTGTTGAAATGAGTTGCATAAAATAATGAAAATCTTTAAGCTTACATGTTATTTTTATTCAATATAAACACATATTTATGTGTGGATGCATTTTCCCTTATATGTATAAATACATTTAAAAATGTTTTTAAGATTTTCCTTCAGCTTGGTTTTGTCTTCTTCTCTCCTGTCAGGTGTCAAACTGGTTTGGCAATAAAAGAATCCGCTACAAGAAAAACATTAGCAAATTCCAGGAGGAGGCCAATCTCTACGCCATGAAGACGGCTCTGGGGGCCAGACAAGGCGACGATTCTCCGCACACTCCCAACTCCACAGGTACTATCTGTAAAAGGAGATGCTGTGGGTTTCACTTTTCAGTGACTCAGTCCAGTCTCCACCCTGTGTGTGTTGGCAACCTCATCAGCTGCACTTCTGAACTCACTGTTGAGGCTCAAGTCAGTGAGGTCCATAAAGGGTGCAGTCACACTAGGGCGGTTGCTCCACGCCCTATTGCCCCTGAAGCTTGTATCCTAGAGCTAGTGTGAGTGCAAGCGCTCCACGCCAAAGAATTAATGTGGATGCAGGCCAAAGGGAGGACACGGGAGGGGGTATGTTGACACTTTTGTGCAGCATGGAGCAAGTGGCCCTAGTGTGAGTGTGCCCGAAGACACCACAGGCGCTCATTGATTAAATGCTTATTCAGCTCAACTATTGAGCTGCTTGTGACCGTGGTTTTTGCGCCTCAGTGAGAACACAGTTTTAAACAACTTTAGAGGCAGAGGGAAATTTAGCAATGTCAGACTGAGAAAATAGCCTTGTGGAATAATTACAGTCTGTCCTTTTTTGAAGTTCATAAAGTAAAGAGTTCTGTTTTTCCTGCATTAAATTTGTTGATGTACAACTGCACAAATATATACAGTCAAAAACCCACTTGCACCGACTTTCCTGAAATCAATTTAAAGAAATTAGATTTTATCTCAAAATGTACTCATCCATAAAATAGTCTAGAATATTTTGGGTTTATTTGGTTTTGCTGACTGGGGGCTGAAGTTTAATTTGTATACAAAAGTACAAATAAATTCTATGTAATGGTATACAGAGGTTATGCCAGTGTTATATCAAAGAAAACTCCAAAATAATACATTTATTCCTCCTGATTGGCAAAGTTTTGCAAAACCCTACAAACATCACTTTCCAGATAGGAAAAAATCTGTCTTTGCAACATATGCAGATTTACCTTAAAGCAGGAATTGAAACAGTAACTCCAGACGTAGTTGGTTGTTGAGCAACACGAAAGGAACTGAGAAGAAGAAGAGAACAGCAACAGCAACTACCAACAAATCTACGATATCAGTGAGTCCCAGGGGCAGAGGACAATGTTGGGACAATGGTTAGGGAATTAAATAGGATGTGAATTAGGCGTGAGTTCATAGACTGCAATGGAGAAGTGGAGTTCTGTGTGGGATAAATATGTCTGAACTCAACACTGCCTCCCAGTGGATGTAATGCATTCATTGAAGGATGTGGACAGTAAGAAATGGGAGCATGTTGTTTTTTTAGATTCTCAGACTGTTTGCAGCTTTTTTCCCTATTTGTAAGACTAAAAAATAAGACAACCATCAACCATCTGAACTGTTCAGTGAACAAAAGATTTTCTCCTTGCTAATGACAGTTTAATGACCATAAAACATTCGACATGTTTTTATCTTTCAGGGTCCGGGTCCTTCTCCCTCTCTGGCTCAGCTGACATGTTCCTTGGTGTTCCACCTGTGAATGGAGAACACTCCGCCTATCAAATGGGTGTGCAGGTAAGAAGACCTTCCTCTTCCTGTGTCTTTTTATTTTCATCTTCTGAAAGTCGTACTTTGATCAGATTTTTACATCACTGATTTCACCATCGATATTATTGGTCTTCTCGTGTTGTTTTTGAAGTTTACCAAAGCTCTGTATGGTCTTTTGTGGATCAGTAAAGTCGACTAGTTGATTGTTAATCTGTACACTGACCGTGCTCCGCATGACACAAGTATGAGTCACGTGGTATCACCTCAGCATCTGTCAGCTGGTTGAAAGTCTCCGCTGTTTATCTTTCGACTCCTCAGGCAAATGGCAACTGGCAGAGTCGAAACTCGCCCACGCCTGGCACCCCGCCCCACAGTGACCACTCCGACAACTCTGACTGATGGCCCCGTCCTCTGACACCAAATGACAGCGACAACAGAAGCAAAAGACAAAAAGAATGCTAATGACACTACCCACTCGGCTGCAGTCGATTTTGTTTTTGTTTTTTGTATCTTCCGTTCGGTTTTAAGACCTTGATTTTGTCTCTCGTTCTCTTATCGGTTCTTTTCCCCCACATAGCCTGGGATCATTATTCTGTTTTTGTAAAAAAGCAGCCAAGTGCACAGATGGCAGCGTGAAGATACCTGTATGTGTGTTGTGTGCATGCAAGTGTGATTTTATTATCACGGCTCCAGGGGGCTAATTGTTTTTCTTCACTACTTTTTAACATGTTACAAAGGTGTTTGTGGTCGAGGGGCGGGTGGGTTTTCAATATCGTTTTTAGCACACTATATCTTTATTATTATTATTATTATTATTAATATTGCTGTTTTTATTATTAGTCCTACAACTGTTTTCTTTAAACTTCTCAGAAGGAGAGAATGCATTCAGTGAATGAGTGGCCAATAGAGAAAAATCCAAAGATTTTGTGCGTTTGTTTCTCTGGTTTTTGTTTGTTTGTTTGTTTGTTTGTGTCCGTTCAGTTTTTCTATCAGGTGTGTGTGTGTGAAAGGAGTGTGACTGAGTCCACATTAATGGTTTGAATGACTATATCAACAGTGCTGTCTTTTTTCTGTACAGTGAAACACCTGTATTCTCTCTACCTCTTTTACAATAAAGACTGTGTATTCACTACCAGCTCATGGTTGTCCTGACAGTCCCCTCTGTACCTGGTACTCTAAAGGATTGGGACAAAGTTTGGTCCTCTTCCAGGAGCCCACTGTTAGAACTTATCTCCAAATCTTAAAGGTTTTGATGGCCTCCTTAATGCTCTTTCTCTTTAGTTTCTGATCTAAATCATCTCCATGTACTTGTGGTTGGTTTCTTTCCAAATGTCTCCATCTGAATTACCTTTTAATTAACTTAAGCTATTTACACCTGCATGGTTAATGGAAGTGCAAGCTTTCTAAATGCAGCATGTGTGTTTCAAAATGTTGATGTTTTAAAAACCTCAGTCTAAGTTGTAAATGTTAAACTCTTGAGTTGTTTCAGTTCTCCTGTTATTAACACCAATTGTATACTTGAAACTAAAGCTGCAGGAGAGAATGATTTATTTTAAAGTTGTCGTCGAATCATTTGAACTTTTGGTAAGAAATATAAAAATGGGTGTGGTACAAATTAAATATTTCTATGCTTTATTATGTAGATCATTTTTGGTTTTCTTTTTTTTTTCCAACCTTGGGGTCGGAATTCCTTCAGGGTCGCCTGAAATGACTAGTAATAGTCTAGTAAATGTCTATTAAAGATTATTGATAACAGTTTTTCTCAACTTGTTATTCTTTTTTGCAGCAAATTAAAATATCTGAGCTGGCTTATCTTTATTAAAGGCTACAATCACGTGACTGAACAGAAAACCATGCATTTGTGGTCGCTTGAACATTGTGTCGCTAAAATGGGTTTACAAGCCAGAAAAGGGGTTGAAAACCGCAGACTTAGATCGTGGTGACGTTGTAACGTCTCGGTTTAATTCCATTCAATTCTGGTCATTCATTTATTAGTCAGTTTGGTCCCCACTCGTGTCCTGGTGTCACGTTCCTCACCACGCGTGTGTGTCCTCACCTCACCCTTTGTCTCCTTCTATTCCCACGATCTCCAGTGGACATCAGCGAACTTTTACGTCACGCGCAAATGTCCTCCATCTGCATCAGCACGAGACCGAGAGGCCAACAGGGCCAAAAGGCACGCGTGGCGGTTTATGTGGCGAGGAGGTGTGAATGCAAAACAACTGCGGACTATTGTTAAACATGTCTTCTGCAGAGTGTGTGACAAACGTAGAGGTGTTAAGCAAGTGTGTGAGCATGTGTGTCTACGTGCGCGCGCGCGGGATCCACATTTTACGCACCCTTTACGCACGGCTTAAATGAAACAAAGCAACCTTTTATTTAACAGAAAACGTGCGTAGGTATGCTGAGGTATTACGTGTTTATAATATATACAGAAAAATGGTTTCGACCAGTGTAATTAGCTTTTCTTTAGTTTTTTGTTTTCATTTTTTTTCTGTTCTCTGTTTGTCCTTTCTCTGATTGACAATAGCAACTACTTGAAAAAATGACCACATCGCATGTTTTCACTGAAGGTTTGTTATGTGCAGGGTGCTCGAAAGGTCAAAGAAACGTCACTCCCACTGAGGACGGTTTTATGTTTGTCAAAAGTTCAGGTGCATAAACCAAACAGAAGGGACCAGATGGACTCAAATCACCAGTCAAGTGGCACAGACACCAAATGGCTGTGGACTCTTGTTTCCACTGTCCAGTCGCAAAATGATATTTAAGGATAAAAACGACAGTTAAAAACAGTGGAAATATGAAAAATGACTTACAATAAATGAAAACGATCATTTTATAACGACTTTAATCTTTTTGAAGTTAATCTATATTGCAAGTTAATCATTAGCATTTAGATTTTTATTTGAACGTTATTTATTTTTTGCCACATATTTACATAAATAGATTTTTATTTTTTCCTTTTATTCCTTTAACAGCAAGGAAGGCATTCAGAAATAATAATAAATTAGATCCATACTTATGGGCATACCAAAGTTGAACATTTGATTAATGAATATTTACCCTGTAATTTAACACTTCAGTTCATTGGGTTTTATTTTGTTTTCTGCCTCATCATATGCACCAACACTGGTTCAGAAACGACAGGAAATAAGAAACAGGGTTACCAAGATAGAATATAAAAATATAAATTATAATATCGACATGTTTTAGTGTTTTCTGTATTTATTTATGAATACAATTGGAGCACAGAGAGAAGTTATAACTAAGTGTTTGTCTTGTATAATTTTATGGATTTATTGAATAACTTTCCTCTGGTTCGTGCTTAATGTTCTCAATAGTCGTTTTTTCCAGTGCAATTATTCGAATTTAAAATTTGAATTAAAATTAAATATCAGTTTCTCCTAAAAAAAGAAGCAACAATTACTACTGAAAACCAAGTTATATCACACACTGAGCAAGAATTTTGGTGTCGGTGGGGAAGAATTAACGTGAAGAAATCTCTATCAACCCAGGCTCAGTGTTGCCGCCGCCTCGGTAATGGGGAGAAGGAGGGGCAACACGGGGGGAGAAGCAGACGGGGAAGAAAAAGCTTGTGCGTAATTGGACCAAGGTTTTATCCTGTTTTTGTCTATTTTTTCAAGCGATGAAGCCTTAATAACATTAAATTAAAATTAACTTCTTTTAATGCAGTCCAGAACTACAGTGTCGTAAACTGTAGGACAGTGTCGGCAGTAGGTGTCGGTGACAGACGCGTGGGTGACAGGCGGCTGTAAACTACAGGTGTCAGCAGTGGGGGGAGTCTGAGTCCAGGGAGTAGATAAAGGAAGCAGTTGGGAACACCAGGCCAGTGGATCTGAGGAGTTGCTGTGTAGAGTTGTTCCTCACTGAAGATAATCGGTCAATATGAAGCTGCTACAGGAAACAGAGGAAGCTACCAGAGACAGAAAGGTACGAATACAATTCACTTCAATTGTTACTTAGTTTGAACAATTGGCTTCAGCTAAATTACTATTATTCTGACGTTCCACCATATTTCTACCTTGCAGTTAATCGAACGATTATTATTATAAAATGTTCTCTCGACTTTCATTATTCTAATGGATGTTTTTTGTTTGTTTGTTTGTTTTTTGTCTTTTATTCGTAGGTGATCAAGTCTCAGGTGGAGAAACGCCGCAGGGAGAGGATGAACGCCAGTCTGGAGCGGTTGAGAAGCATGTTACTACAGGAGCCCCAACATCTGGTAAGATGATGACAATAATTCACCTTTAATTGTAAAGAACAATGGAAACATTCTTTTTTGTAATATATTACTTTTTAGATGCTAGCTTTACAAAAAAAGACGATTAGTGAAATTAATGTATGATGTTCATGTTATAAAAAGTCAAACATAATGACAATAATGATAATAATAATTTGCAAATTCCATTTGCAATGAAGGTTTATGCAGGCATGATTGCAGGTTTTTGTTTTGTGTCTGAACCCATTCTGATGTGTTTTTTGCAGAGTGGAGCTCAGGGCAGAGTGGAGAAGGCAGAGATCCTTGAGCACACTGTTCTCTTCCTTCAGAGAACTATTCAAGGGGACAAATCAACAACAGGAGGAGGCGAGAAACAGTCCTTCCAAGATGGCTTCTCTGCCTGCTTCCAAAGAGCTGCCCACTTCCTGGGATCTCAGGGAAAAGACCTGTGGATGGGAGCATCTCTGGACGCTTCATGTGTTTCAGCCCGCTTCCCACAGCCAGACTCAGACTCCACAGTTCACCGTGGTCTTAACAGAAATGACACCAGTTGCTCCTTGTCTCCTGGCTCCCTAATGCGGACAAAGTCCATTCTCAGGATGCTCAGACAGAAGTCTGATCACAGACTCGGCATGGCTCAGACCTTCAGCGCCAACACCTCTCCTCATCCCTACAGACATCCGATCCAGCAGAGCTTTTCCATCGTCTCCTCGCCGCCTCAGAAACAGAAGTGCCGTCGGGCCGGGGTGGAAAGAGAAGGCAGCAAACAGGCTCTTGGTCAGGCCAGCAGCCTCAATCAGACTCTGTGGAGGCCTTGGCCCTGATCTCTAGCCTGAGTTCTCTGAAATTGAACTTTGAAATGTGTCTCAACTGTTTCATAAAGTTACTGTTGTTACTTATAAAACATCTTCCAAAGGTCATCAGCAAAACAAAGGACTTTCCAACAGTCTCAGCCACTTCAGCCTGTAAATACTGTAATGTCAGTGCCTCATGTCTGTGGAGGCCTTGGCCCTGATCTCTAGCCTGAGTTCTCTGAAATTGAACTTTGAAATGTGTCTCAACTGTTTCATAAAGTTACTGTTGTTACTTATAAAACATCTTCCAAAGGTCATCAGCAAAACAAAGGACTTTCCAACAGTCTCAGCCACTTCAGCCTGTAAATACTGTAATGTCAGTGCCTCATGTGTACATGTGCTGTATGTGTGAAAAGGGGTTGTGTGTGATGTTTTCGAGTGAGATAAAACATCAGAAGGGCAGCGGTCTCTGCAGCCGACATCCAGGTGTAGATCGTTCCTCAGTGGACCAGATGCGGGGTCCTGTACCAGATTCTAGCTGAACTAGTCCGGCCCAGAACTGCCTATG